TCAGTCACTGGTGTCCAGTGGCAGTGTAACATTGTAATTCCGAAACTATTTTTTAGTCATGACACATACTTTGCGTTTGGTAGTTTGGTTTTAAAGCAAGTATTATGTAGTTCTATTTAATTATCGGATTCCAAGAAAAAAAAAAAAAGGAAAAAAAATAATATACATATACAAAAATTAAATAAACTTAATTTATTAAAACAAGCAAACATAAACATAATTTTTTTAAACAAACAAACATAAACATAATTTATTTAAACAAACAAACATAAACATAATTTATTTAAACAAACAAACATAAACATAATTTATTAAAACAAAAAATAATATTTAAACAAATATACCCAGATTCATTAGTCATATTGCCTTTTTTCTCACTTTTAATTCTGCAAATTCGTCAATCAGTTTCTCATAATTATTAGTTATTTAATAACTCTTTTTCTATATAAAGTAATGATAAACTATTTAATTTTTGTTGGCCTAATGTGGATATTAAAAATATTTTATATTCTGCCCATTACTGAGAATGATCTTTCACCGCTTGCGTTGCTTATTGGAAGTGTTAAATAAATTCTCAGAATTATGTTTAAATTAGGGGATGTTGCAATAATATTATTTTTCTGAATAAATAACCACATGGATACAGGCGAAATAATATTTTCTTTACTTATAAAAGTCTTAAATTGTAACACTTCATTTTTCAGTTCTGCTAAGTTTAAATCTTGTTCATAACCTTTCAATTCCTCTATTGAAGAGTCGCTAACATCCCTATCATAAAAAATTGTTTTGAATTTATTGTTAATAGTTTTATATCCCTCAGATTTTTTTCTAATGTTGCTAATTAAAGAATCGCATACAACAAAAAATATTAACTTTAAAATGTTCTTTGACACTGAATCTTATTTCATGTTTTGGAATTTCCCCATGAAATAGGTTTCGTATTTTCTGCCGTTTTTTATCATTAGTATATGCAATATCCTTAATAAGCAACTTTTTCTGCTTCTTTTTCTAAATTGACAAAATCATCTCTAACAGCTTGTATGAAGTCTATCAATGAATCATATATTAAAACTGTTGTACTTAGGGATTCGTCTTTTTGTTGAAGAGCCTTGTTTGAAGCATCTATTCACTCTAAAATCTTTTCCTATATAGTACGTATCAGTACATATTCAAATGTATCAAGTTTCTTATGTAAATCGGCAGCTTCGGACCTTGTTAATGGTTTTTCATCTTTGAAGAAAAATGATGTAAACAATGTTTAATTTCTTCATAATTTTCCTTTAAGGATTTCACAGCATCGAAACGAGCAGACCACCTGGTGTCACTAATAGGTTTAATACTCAAGTGTTTGCTCTTACAAAATTTTTATAATGCATTCCACCTATGTGTAGAGCTTGAAAAAAATACGTACAATTCCTGAACGATATTGAAAAAAGTGGTCATTTCCATGCAACTTTTCGGCAGCAGCGCTTCCAATTAAAATTAATGAATGATTTGCGCATGATATAAAATGGCCAGAAAAAATATATTGTTTTATTCTGGATTGGGGTCCTTTATAGTATTTACTTGACATATTAAACGCATTATCATATAACTCTGTCTCCGACAGTTAGTGATGTCTAAATCTATATTATTTAAAAATTCTAAAATAACTTTCTCCAAGTTTTCAGAAATCCCAATCTGTCTTTTATACCACTTGGAAGAACATAGCAAATAATGACGGTCAGCTGATCCATGTGAGATATATCGGGTGTTGAATCAATAATTAGACAGTAAAATTTGCTTCTTTTATTTCATTCACTATTGTGAATTGTAAATATTTCGATATAATAGAAATAAATTCATCACATATTGTAGATGACAAATAGTTTATAGTACCGGTTTATAGTTTATAGTATTTTTTCTTGTGTTCCCGCAAAAATAGATCGAACTCGGATAAGTATTTCAAAGCGCCCATATAATTACCTTTATTTTCACTAAAAATATAATTACCATTATTGTCACTTCATTTCACTTTTACCACGAAACGCTAAAGAGTATGAAGAAATAAATTTGATTGTCGCTACCACACGTTTAAGTACTTCCCTCCAATATTTTTTTTCATTTATAATTTGTTTTTCCAGTTCAGTATCAATGCGTCCAGTAATTTTAGATTTTTATGTACATTTTACCAATCATTCATCCCTTTTGTCATTAACGTTGTTTGTTTGGAAAATAATTTACAGACGTAACAGTACAATAAGTTGTTGGTTTCGGTATAAGCCAACCAACCTCTTTTAACTTTTCTCCGCTATTAATTATTCTGAAGAAGGAGACAATAGTTAATTTTCTTGTGACTTGTTTTGACCCTTCGTTGCATCGAATAGATGATGATTCCGAAGATCCATTTATTGATTTTGGTTGATTTCGTATATAATTTTCTCGTATGGAGCCTGTTAAGTATTCTGGCCATAATGCAATATCGTTTACAAAACTCTTAGTTTCATCATTACTTTGAGATGATTTTAAATTTATATTTTCTCCTTTTGTTTCATCCTCATAAACGGAATTGCTTGGTTTTTCCTGCTGGTCTTGCAGAATAGTTTCGGAGACAAATGACGTTTCTGGAGTTTGAGCAGGTGAATGATGACAATTGTTGTAATTGTTCTCCATCTACAGTTAAAAATTTGTCTAACGATCTTTTCATTTGTTTTGCCACTTTATCTCGATCTGCTTTTCGTTTTCTTTTTTTCACTTCCACTTAAATGTTTATAGGAACTCATTTTAAAGACCACGTACCTGTGAAGTATTTGCAATCAAGTCTAGGTATATAAGTCTTAATTGCACAATTTTCAATCACAACTCACATAAGATGCAATACGTTCAAAAGACACTGATTTTAAGTAGCTACGTTTGACTTTTTAAACACGTGCATAGTAAAGGCTTGATAGGCGCGAGGCTCGATCGTATTTACACACATCGACACAAGCGGGCGTGGATGCATAAGCACGGGAACGCTCGTCCACACTCGTCGACTTCAATTCTCTCGCCGTATCCAAATTATGCCGAATCGATCAATCAACGATTAGGCATAATTTGGATACGTTTAAGCAATAATTATGAATATCACGTTGTTCTGTTAAATAAAAATAAAAATTAATTATAAAAATTAAAAAATTATAATCTAATTTTCGGGTCCCAAAAATTACGGGCCCGCAGCACGTGCCTAGGTTGCCTAAGCCTTAGTCCGACCCTGCTGGTGCCCTAACTAAACTTTCCGCTGAATTTCATATTTTGTAAACCTTTAACAAATTTTTTATTAACAAACTCAACGATTTTCAAATCAAGCAATGGCAACAACGCACGATTAAAATTTTTTATCTCCAGTGCGCGAGACTACATATCGGAATTTCTAAAGATATGATATTTTTAAATATTTTGTGATACTGCTGTGGAATTGAGTTTTATGGTTTAAGAACATGATATTTAATAAATAAATGTAACACACAAAATGTAAAAAAAAAGGCTCTTTCGGGCGTAATATAAAATCTGAAAGATTTTAGATTTTTTATTTTTTAAAGATTTTGTTCAAAATATTTCTTTTTATTCGTCTCGTTATGAACAGTAAATAAACAAATGAGGTCTATGATATGTCGCAGAACGCACATTTACATTATATCTAACGCGTAAGCTCTCTAAAGGCTACCTCTCTTGCTCTCTCTCTCCCCATTTTAAAATGCTTATGAATTTCCTTATTGTATTTTATAGCCCTTAGCATATTTTGATATATTTGATATTATTTGATATTAAAACCTGAGTTCTTCTTGTATTAATTAAACTGAATTTAGGGTTAGTTTAGGGCTAATTAGATGCGCTAAATGTCTATCAGACTAATTATCTGAGAGGTAGTGCTTGTGTAAAGGATACTTTAAGCGAAGTGGACATTTATATGAGAAACACGTGATGAAAACAATGATAATGAACAAGTGAAAAAATCTTAGAATGCGATTGCTTATGATACTGAGTATCAATATTAGTTTATTCTTTGTCTACTATCCCTTGGCTTTTGGCTGCACTTTAAATTATGAAATTCTATTAAGAATGATTTTAAATTTTCCCTGTGAAATCGTTAAATTTATGAATAAATTAAACGCCTTTCGTTTTTATATAAGTGCGTTTTTATTAGAGGATGAAGCAATAAATAAAAAATGAAAAAACTGAAAACTATTCTTTGCATAAATTTCGCTTTTATACAGCAATAATGCGATTATTCTCTTGAACGATCTTAAATAAAATACTTTATTTTCTAAATCCCAACAATTTTTCTTTACTTGTATTTAATTGCTCTAAACATAAATGAAGATCCTATTCTGCTAGTCATGTCTATCTGTTTGGCGGCCATTTCCCCTTGATAAGTCTGTCTCCTGCCTGCTCAACAGTCATTCACTTATGCATTTTAAAAAAAAAAAATTAGGTTCATTTTAATTTGCTAAATTGGTGAAATTATTTTCATGTTTTGGTTTTGCACTTGATTTGCTTATGCTATCTGAATTTAAATGATATTGTAGATTAGTTCGAAAATTAAATCTTTTATATGTTTGCACATTTTTTTAATTATTTTAACTTTAAATTTGCTTTTTTACGTATATACATGTTTTATTTTACATTTATTTTTTATAGCCTTCAATATAAGTAATTTTGTTTGTACTACACAATATATTGTTTAATACAAATTCTGATAATTATAATACCTATTACTTGTGCGTGTTCACTTTATCAGCAACAAGTTTTCAGTTGAAAATTTGAAAGTTTTTCGGATGATCAATTTTGAATTTCGTGCTAGTTTACAGCTTGTTTATTTCATCATTTATGATAAAAAAGTTTATGTGCAGTGAGTTTGTACTGAAATCTAAGCTTGTTAATCTTTATTATTTAAAAGCATTTTTTTACACTTCAGAAGATAATTCGCTTAAATTATTTAGCATAAGAATTACATACCAAAGGGAAAATAATATACTCACCTCCGTTACCGTCGTTTTGGCTTCAGGTTCCGCTGAATCCTTTTCAGGTGTTGTAGGTCTGTCTTCCTTCTCGGAAGTTTCTTTTTCATCAGTCGAAATTTCAGCTTCTTTCTCTTTCTCAGAAATTTCAGCTTCGTCTTCTTTTTCCGGAACTTCAGCCTTATCTTCCTTTTCAGAAGTTTGGGACTCTCTCTCTTTCTCAGAAATTTCAGCTTTATCCTCTTTTCCGGGAAGGTTGGTCTTATCAACTTCTTTTTCAGAAATTTCGGAATCAGCTTCTTTTTTAGTAATTTCTGTCTCCTCTTTAGAAATTTCGGCCTTTTCCTCTTTTTGTGAAATTTCGGCTTTGTCTTCCATTTGAGAAACTTCGGGTCTTGCTTCTTTATCAAGGCCCTCGGCTTTGTCTTCTTTTTCTGAACTTTCTGGTTTATCTTGCTTTTCTAAGCTTTCGAGTTTACCTTCTTCTTCGGACTTTTCGGCACTGACTTCCTTTTCTTTTTCAGCTATGCTTTCTTCAGATTTGGTTTCCTCATCAGGCTTTTCTTTGCTCGATTCTTCAGAATGTTTATCCAAAGCTTCATCTCTCTTTTCGCTTGCTTTGTCAGATTTATCATCTTCTTTTACTGATGGTGTCGGAGATTGTGATCCTGAAATTTCAGCCGGCTGAGAATCAGCTGTTTCTTTCGCTGCTTCTGAAGTTTTTTCAGTTGGTGCTTTAATGTTATCAACACCTTTAGCCTTTTCCCCATCCGATTCTTTTTCAGTTTCTGGAACTTCTCTTTTAGATTCGATTGTTTCTTTTTCTTTTTCATCTTCAACACCCTTTTCTGTTTTCTCTTCCGTTACCTTTTCAGTTTCTATCGCCTTTTTGCTTTCATCTTCCTTTTCCACTTCTTTATTAATATCCAGGTCTTTCTCCTCTTTTTCTTTCTCTTCGTCTCCTGTAGTGATTGACACTTTCTCTTCTGCTTTAGAATCAGCCACTTCTTTTGTAGTTTCAGATTTATTATCTATGATCTTCACTTCCTCTTTCTTATCTGATTCTTCAGCTGAAGTTTCTGTAAAAAAAGGTCAGCCATTTGTTAAAATGTTTTACTACAGCATGGTATCTTTATAACATTTGACACGATATATGTTATTTATTTTCTTTTGGGGGGATGGTGGTTAAGGGCATGAAAATTGGTGTATGTGAACATTTAGAGCTAATAAATGTCTGGAGTAGAATTGAAATTTCTGAAAATTCATCCTTCTTGTCGACAAATCTGGCAATAAGTTGACTTCTTTCTGTAAAACTTTGTCAAATTCAGTCAATATTAGTTATTCGTTTATTTCTGTGAGGAAAAGGGGAAAAACTGGATATCATGCTCGAATCCACCGAAAGTAAGTTATTAAGGTATTCAGCCCATGTAAATATGTCACTTATCGATTTTTTAGATGTAGAAAAAGAACACGCTATTTTAGTGAGATTCATGATGCTCGGTATTATCTTTTTTAATGTGTATTTTGGAGTTTTTGCTTTCGTCTATCATGAAGTTAAGCAATATACTCTTGGTTAACAGGCCATGTTAAGCGGTCTCTCTAGCGATATTGAAGCTCTCTTTACGGAGCCTTTTAACTGGATCTACTCATATTGTAAACAGTCAGAATGTGTACATCTCCCAGCTTCATTAAGGGTGGTATTTCTCTTTTCATCAAACTGTTTGCAAAGAACATCAGGCAAAAACTAATCAGGTCGGTAAGGTGATTGAGATCGCTAAAGATATCAAACACAAAAAGAGGTTGCTAAGGATATCAAGCACTTCATGGTAATTTTCATTTCAAGCTAGAAGGAAATTACATAAATGAATTCAAAGTTTTGTGATGAGCACATAGATGAGCACAAATTTCATGTTTTTCAGTGCGATTATACATGAATATAGAATAACAGTGCATAAAAAATAGTTGTATAATATATACTATTGTAGCATCTGATGTGAAATCCAAAATTCTGCTATTGTAAGACTATATCTTCACTATAGGGTGACCTCAAGCTGCAACTAGCATCATAATGAACAAAATTACAAAGCATGACTGAAGAAAATTAAGGTTATCATGAGTTAAATTTCACTGAGCACAACAGATTCACATTCTTGAAAATAGTAATGTTAAACGAGGTCGAAAGAAGAACTGAAAATGACAATGTTTTTTTTTTCCTAACAAAAAATCAAAGAATATATAAGTTCTTGGTTCAGATGCAAAGAATACCATAACACCAGCATCATAAAGATTAATCGTCAATTTCTAAGCCACTGGCCAGATTGCCGAAATTGCGTTGAGTTGTCCTCAGAATTGTAGATCGGACACCATTTAAATGTTTTTTAAACCTGTAAGTTCACTTTTTTCGCCAAAAAAATATCGATTAAAAATATCCGTGACTCTTGTCATCAGGTTTGTGCTACTACTTTTGTGTTACATGCTAATGGAGCATGAAAGATATTACTAATGAAATCTGTGCATTGCATGTAAATTAGGAATTTGACACAGGCCCAATGTAACTTTCTTAGGCAATGCGTTATCCCTAAAATTAAAATTTGGTTTTCTAAAGTAGAATATATATATATATATATATATATATATAATATAAGGTGCAACTTATAAAGTCTTTTGAAATTCGGTGCAATTCTGGAGCGCGAAAAGCACTTCAGTTCCATTTTACAGTATATAACGGGCATTGAAAATTAAGTGTAAATCGAAAATATTAAAATTGCTTGAATATGCACATGTTAATTAATTTTATTATGTGAGAGGATAAAATGGCTAGTTGTTTCAAAAAAGAGCTTCTTGATAATAGATTGAAATCTAGATGTATAAATTGAAAAAGTTCTAAATAAGTAACTTAAAACGGAAACAGTGATAGACTGAAGTAAAAATGAATTTTTATTTTTTATTAGTTATCCTATTTTCCTTGCCTTATTTTTGTATTCGTCGTCTGTATGTTTCTGTTTCTTGTATACAGTACTCATGGGATTCTGAAATGCTTTTAACTCTTATCACAGAGTAAAATAAGCAGATTACAATACCAGTTAACTAAGATAACGCCGGATGCAATGCCCGCGGTTAAACAAACATAATTATAAAACACAGCAAAGCAATAAAACTCCCATTGTAATTAACAAGAAAATACTCTTGATAAGAAATCTGTAATTTCAAGCAATATAATCCAGAGACTACATTCATTTGGCTACACAAATTAAATCAGAATTCAAAACAGCAAAAAATCGAAAGAACAATGTTTCTGTTTCTCTTACTGTCGTATTTCGATAATGGTGAATGGAAAATGAAGATTAATAAGTGTATGATTAATTTATTTTTTAGATTTTGCAATTTATTTTTAATAGATGATTTAACAGTGTTTATATATTGCAGATTATGCACAGTTTAAAATGTATATTATTGTGGATCAGAACAATTCCTAAATGTCGTGATTTCAACCTGCTATCACTACTGTTATCCCACGCACTTTCTTCTCCTTTTGTTTTTTCCACATAAATTTGGCTTTTTTCTAAATGTTTGTGAAAGTCGTTTTTAGATTTCTTCTGAGTGAACCAAAAAAAATTTGTTTAAACAAGGCTCGGCTAATTCGACACTTTTACACACGACATTTAATCACGACATTTAATTTTTACACACGACATTTAATCGCCTTCGATTGACATTTACTGCAACACTATAATCATAACTATTTTCATTATGTATTATCTGCAATTCAATGCCCTCGGTTCACGAAGTTTGAAATAATTGACAAAGCCCTGATAAATACCAAAGTTGGAAAATGAATACCTGAATTTTTTCTGGAAGGAGAAAAAAAATTCTGGGGTTGTTTGCCTACAGTAGCATAAAATGAAGCCTTTTCAGAAATTCTTTGTTCTAAGAAGTCTTTATAAATTTTAGAAAGAATATTTAGGCAAAGTTAAAATTTGTATAACATTACTCGGTTTCTTTGTCTACATTTTCACTTTGAAATTTGTGTTCGTTATTTACCTTCGGTGCGCTCTTCCTCAGCCTTTCTTTCTGCTGATTTTTCCGATTCTTGTTCGTCGTTTTGGGACTTATCAGCGTCAAGATCCTTTTTGTCTTCGCTGGTAGTCGAGGTAGCCGATTTTCGTCTTTCTGGAGGCTCATATATAATAGGGTCTGGTATGGAAGACCGGGATACTGCCGATGCTGGTTTACTGTCTTCATCTTTTTGAGATTCATCGTCTTTTTGGCTGATGCCAGAAGATGGCTTACTCGAAGGCGTGGCTGATATTTTAGCTGATGAAGCCACTCTATCACTAGAGGGTGTTCCACTTGAGGGGCTGGCTGCTCCATTTCCCATGATGTTTTCACTCCCTGCATCTTCATCAGTATGGGATTGTAAGGCTTCATCTGTTAGCTCGACTTCCGCACTTGCTTGCTGGCCGTCAACCTTTATTGGGATAAGAAACAGATAATAATATTTACAATTTATATATTATAAATGTATTAAAATAAAAATGTTTATTAAGAGTTAATAATAACGGTAGAATAAATCTTTAAAATCATTGTAAAAATTTACAGAAGTGAAGTAATTAATTCTTTCCATATCATTTTAATAAGCAGTTCTTGTAAAAATTAAGTGTGAAGTTAGAATAGTTTTATAATGACAGCGCGTCATCACGTTTGATGTTTTACATTTTATAAATTATTTATAACTAGAAGATTATTAAATATGATGAACGACATTTCCTATCCTCTTTTTCTCAGCAGAAATACTAAGGATACAATTTTAACAATTAGAAAGTTTTATTTATTTTATTAAAATTAATTCTCATTGCATTACAGTATTTGCAAGTTAAAAGCTTGAGATATTAAATACAATTTCATATCTAAATTTACTTTATTTCTTTCTGGCATTTTCTCAATCCCTTCTTTATAAAATACAGAAATCGTGTACTGATATTAAGCAAATTCTGGTTATTCTGGTCTAATATTACGTTCAACATTTCAATATTTTATTGATTCAAAACTGAGTGCAAAACATAAAGGGGAAATAAGGAAAGAAAATTTGAAAGTATTCAACTTTTAACATTAAAACAGAGGATTTGCTAAGATTTTTCGTGCTCTCGTTGAGTATCGCAACCTACAAATCTGCTCTTGGGCTCACTACAGCAAACATAGGTTCTTTATTTTTTTTTTATCTTTCCAGCTTTATAACTAAGCATTTTTGTACTTACACCACATAAAATTCAAGCGCAAAATCACAAAATACTTAACAACAGCACATCTTTAGAATTTCCGACAGTGAATGCTAGGCACTGTCATAGATTTTTTTATCTTCACTTTTATTATTTGTTTGATAACTAGCTGCTCGAGTGGCTCGTCACATAAAAGATTTATCCTAAAAAAAGGGAAAAAATCGTATATAGTGATTTGAATGCGTCCAGACTGTGTAATTTCATAAAAATATTTAATATTTGAAAATAGAAATCTCATGATTTAAATGCATTTTTATTTAAGTTAATCAAATTAAAATGTAGACAAAATATTTTAAGAGTTGCGCTTATTACTTTTCAATCACTTGGTTTTGCTACTCAATTATAGCAAAATTAAATATGAAAGTTGTAACGTATACTACGTTAGTAGTATAAACTAACTAGACGTTAAAAGACTTAGGAAATCCCTATGTACGAACAATTCCAGAGAAGGGTGTAAAGAACTCTTAATTCACTCAAATAAAATTCACAGATGATACCGACTAGCACCTACAAAAGACAACGCTTTTAGCTTAACTCAAAAAGGTAACGAGTAACTTTAAATTGAGAATTATTAATTTATCCTAACGGCTTCACAGGTTACTTAAATCTCAGACTCGTAAAAGTTACCGTAACCACGCCGAACAGCAAAAAGCGCTCAACGTCACAGGATTGTAATCGCTAGTAAATCAAATATAGCAACGTGATCCTCAGGTAGGGAGAATACGCGCCAAATTCATCTTCCAGAACCTTCCTCTAAATACTCAATTTTTCTAGTTTATTTAAATAAACGCGTGCTAGCTCATTTACATTCTCTCAAGAAAGCGTAAGTTGAAAGCAAAAGGGATAGAAAAGGTTGCTTCAAATTAAATTTAACTGTTAAGTAAATGAAATAAATCCCCACAAAATTAAATATCTTATGATTTACTGAATGGCAGCACTCTGGTACAGTAAGATGATAAGTATTCTACATAAAGCAGTAACACATTTCTTTCATATAACTAAATTTGTGGACTAAAAGTGAAAGATAAAATATCGGCTGATCTTTACAATATGGTAACTGGTAGTTTGGCGACATTTTGGAGGCGATAAAGGACTTTGGTAATAATGTGAGCAGTACTCAGTTCCGATTACGCATTATTTTGTGTGAGGGAAATGAGAGATCATGTGATATGTCATGTGATATAATGGACGAATTACGGTTCTTTAATCGAAAAAGGGGGCATCGGGAAATCGGGAAAAAAATATGTATTTGCCTTTATTCTGTGTTGTGTGAAACAGTGTTCGTTAATTTTTGGATCCCATGGGCCCTAACGAATGTGATTCGAAAGGGGTATTCGTGGGAGAAAGGGTAATGGGAGTTTGTTGCGAAGAAAGTTAAGTTTTTATTAGTTATTTATTTACCTGGTACCTTGGTGGTGTGGACTATAAGTATGATTAAGACCGAAAAGAAATAAGAAGTTTAATCGTACAAGATCAAGATCTGAGAAATGGTAAGGGTTTTAAGGAAGTTAATATTTGAGGTTTATGCATTGAAAGGGGGGAAGTAAACTATTTGTGTAAACGTTGCATGAAAATTTAAATATTTGACACTAAGTATTTGTAAAGCATTTGTAATGAAGGAAGGTATTAGTTAGTGACGTTTGTAATATAAATAGATAATGTAAAGGTAAAATTTTTGGATTTTATTTATACGGGGAATGTTCATATTTGGAAAGGGTATGTTACTTTCGCGACAGGTAATTTCATTTGTCTTTTACCGGGTTTAAAAACTTCAGAAAATTGTCATGTATTTTCGTGAAATTTTTCTAATGTATGAGAAAAAAAAAAAGCAGTGTACATGGATAGTGAAGAGTGTGCGAATGCCATTTTGTGTAATTCTGGGATGTTTTTTTAAGTAAAATAAGTCGGCGGTGTACATGGTTGATGTGTATGTTGCGTAACGGAAGTAGGTATTGTGCACTGTTCCATTTTGCGTGAATATTTGTCATGATTAAGCAGTTTTGTTAGATAAAATTTCTAGCATAAGTGTAATTCGGCTAGTAGATTGTTGGAAGAAAGTGTTCATAGAAAAAAGAAAGAAAAACATGTCTTTTCGTGAAGACAAATGGCGGCGGAAAAAAATAATAAGAGGTTGCTGTAGAGAGTTGGTCGCCAAATTTTCGCCAAAAAAACGCCAAGTTACCATAATGTAAAGATCAACCAAAATATCTTACATTTTGCCGAATGGCAACAGTCGGGCGTGTAGGAGATAAAAAAAATTATTTCGAACGGTGTTGCCAGTTAACACTTTCAAATCATTCAATGGATCTAGGTGGCGTCGTTTTTCCACATTGCAAGAAACATTACATACGTACGGACTGTACATCATTTTTTTAAAGCAATACTTCGCGATAACATTTGACGCCAACAATATGAGAAGTTAAGTCAGACGAAAAGTGTGTTTCGAGACTAACAACCCCTCCGGTGATAATAAACTTCAAATGACTTAATGATAAATCAGGTTCAACGGATACAGAGCATAATTTAAAACAGTTATAAGGTATTTTTTTCCACCTTCTTGGCGTGTCTTCGTTGTGTGGTGGTCTGCACGCTCAGCGCGTAATTGAGAAGCCCGCGGTTCGATTCCCGCCGAAAGCGTTACAAATTTTTCATCCTTCCTGCTTCCAAAAAATAAATGTCTCTACACAGTTACTAAAATATTGCAAACTATTCAGTCTACATCTAAAATACAAATCAAAATAAAGTTGTTTTCTGTTGCCACTTATCGGATACTATAGTTATTCAAGCTTGAGCACTAAAATTATACCGCTATTGCTAGCACTTTAAAATTACCCCAGGAACGGGAAACCTCACTTACATAAAATCAGTGGTAATTTCCAATTTAGAGATACAAAAGAGATTTTGAGGTTTTTATCTTAGTGGAGGGCAACTACCATGATATATAAAATTCAATATTTACTAATATAAATAACTGGAGAAATGTTTTCGCTAGTTTATTGTAGTATCAAAATAAGACCGCAAGGGTTCGTCGTGATTTTCGGTGCTTCAGTAATTGTGTTTAATCATGTAATATATAATAATTGCAGCGTATCTGGAATAATATTTTTCTGCTTTGCCTGCGCGTAGGATTTATTGTTTATGAATCTATCTTTGTATTTAATGAGATTTTGAGAGAGTTTTGGCCTAGGAATCCTTTCGCAACCTCTCGAGTTTTGAGGTACACTGCGTAGAAAAGAAAAAAAAAAAAAAAAAAAAAAAGGACACAATTCTTCATCTCCCGTTTTACTGGGAGGATTGACGAAATTCAAAGTGCGTTTTTCAGTTTTTCATGTCTCGATAGCGCGACTTAGGATATGTATTAGGTTTATATATAGCATTGTCCTAATATAGGTACTTTGATACAAATCGGACTTTTCTTTCTGAAATGACATGGCCATTTTTTTTTTCCATATTTTCCCCATTTGCACTCAAATTCAAACAAAACACCAGGTTATTTATGTAAAACGAGTAGATTAAAAAAACAAAACATGCTCCTGAATGTTAATTCAGTTTTGGTATGTTTATTAATAATCTCTTTTTATTACCACATACTGATTCCTTCTTTCAATTTGCAATTTAGGTTCATTCCAAAATAAATTCACGAATTTTTATGTTGTATTTTTAAATAATTTTTATAAATTTTAGAAAAAAATTTGAATCAATCCTATAAAATTTTTGCCAGCTTACAGTGGATGTATTTCTAGGCACACCTGCCAAAAATTAGCGCTTTATATTCAAAATTTCTGATGATATACATGAATTTATATATTGGCGCGTTTTGAAATTTGGCATAATTGTTGGGAAAGCGAGATACTCAAGGTTTACGCGCTTTGTTAAAATTATTTGAAAGAAGGAACGATGTGACTTTTTTCCGCTCAGACACAATGTAAAAAGGTAGGAACGGCGGAACTTTTTTTCTGCTCCTGCACAATGGAAGGGAAATAGGTTGCCATATATTAAGAAAATCGCCAAGTGAATTATTCTTGGCGGAAACTGAAAGTATGCGCCAACCTAAATTCTTGAATTTCTCTGTAAATTTCGCACCAAATTTTACAAAATTTAACATTTAGGCATAATTTGAGTAGCAGAAATGAAATATAGAAAAAAAATGGTACTTTTTTTAGAAAAAGGCCCATTTTGTGTCAAACTACCT